ACTGTCAGACCCGGGAGAATCCTTAGAACACAGACCATGTGCTGGAAGGGACCTTAGAATACAGAGCACGGACCGCCAGACCCGAGAGAATCCTTAGAACACGGACTGTTGGTGCCTGAAGGGACCTTAGAACAGATGACTTGGAATGTCTGTCCTGGAAGAGTCTTAGAACAGAGAACCTGGAATGCCTCAGAGCCAGGAGGGGACTTGGAGATCTCCTTATGGGGCCCACGTTTTGTAGATGAGGAAAGAGCTCAGGGCAGTGACTCGCGGCTTCCAGCGTCCGGCACCCCGGGCCAGGGATCTCCGCTCCGCTTTCCCGCCCTGTCTCTCCTGTTCTCCGATTGATCGTGCTCAGGACCTTTTCCATGATTCTTCCGATCCCTTCCTGGCTGTCGGGCCTGGCCCTACCTGCCCATCCTGCTTTCTCTTGCCTGCGATCTCCCGACCCACTGAGGACCTCGCTCTCTTTTTTTAAAAATTAATTTATTTGGATTTATCAACAATCACTTCCATATGCTTTTGAGTTTAACATTTTTCTCCCTCTCCCTCCCCACCACCCTCCCCAAGATGGCGGACAATCTGATATAGGCTAGACATACACATTCCTGTTAAACATATTTTCACATTAGTGATGTTGCAAATAAGAATTAGAACCAATAGGAGGAACCACTAGAAAGAGGAAACAAAACTCAACACAAGAAAAAAAAGAGCAAACAGTCTGCTTCGATCTGCATTCAGACTCCTTAATTCTTTCTTTGGGTGTGGATAGCATTTTCCATCACGAGGCCTTTGGAGATGTCTTAGATCCTTGTATTGCCAGGAAGGGTTAAGTCTATCGATGTTAGTCATCACACAACGTGGCTGTTACTGTGTACAACGTTCTCCTGGTTCTGCTCACTTCACTCAGCATCAGACCATACGAGTCTTTCCAGGTTTCTCTGAAGTCCGCCTGCTCATCATTTCTTATAGCGCAATGGTATTCCATCACATTCATATACCACAACTTGTTCAGCCATTCCCCAATGGATGGGCATCCTCTCAATTTCCAATTCTTTGCCATCACCAAAAAAACTCTCTCTCTTAATGAGCAGTAATCAGTGGCAAACTCATTACAAGGCCTTCCCCTTCACTTTTGCTGCCTCTCTCTCAAAGGAGGCCCGAGATTCCTATCAGCTCCTCCACTCCCTGTTCTGTGGGCAAAGGGTCCCTTCTCCGGCTCTGGCATTATGGGCTCTGTGCTCTAAGGCCCTGCCCAGCCCCAACACACAATACCCGGAGCCAGAGAGGGTGAGTGATTCCAGGTGATTGTGTAAGGGCCTCATTGTTAGAGGCATTGGCCCTTTGAATGTTAAGGAGGCCTCACCCAGGTCTGGCAGCTGACTTTCTCCATGGCTCTACTAGCACTGGAATTCCAGGGACTAGGAAAAAAAACAACTAAGCGGCAGCTATGGACTTGTCTGGCTTCTGGAGGGTTGAAGAAGTGAGACTGACCCCTGCAGGAGCCCAGGAATCCAACCCGGAGACTGCCTCTGGCCTCCCCACCTCTGGGGCATCCCGGCATAAAGCTTAGAGGGATGAGGCCAAGCCTGGGAGGTGAAGTCTGGTTCCCGTGAAAACGGAGACTGTCGAAGCTGGGAGGAGCCTGGCAGCCAACTGGGGCAGGACCCGAGGACCTGAGATTTCCTTGGTTTGGGGAACTTCTGGGTGAGCAAACTCCCTTTACCCATTCAGACAGCCACCTTTCCCGCAATTTAGAGCCTTCGGGCGTTATCCAGAGCATTGAGGGAGGAAATTACTTGTTCCCGGTCTCTCCCCACTGGGTGCCAAAGGCAAGGCTCAAACATGGGTCTTCTTGACTTCAAAACCAGCCCTCCTGTAGAGTATAGAACATGGCATGGCAGGACTGGGAGAGTTCTTGACACATGGAATGTCAGAGCAAGGAGGGTCCTTAGAACAGAAAATGTCACAGATGGGAGAGGCCTTAGAACATGGGATGGCAGTGCTGGGAGAGTTCTTAGAACATGGAATGTCAGAGCAAGGAGGGTCCTTAGAACAGAAAATGTCACAGTTGGGAGAGGTCTTAGAACGTGGAATGGCAGTGCTAGGAGGGCCCATAGAACCCAGAACATGGAATGACAGGGCAGGGAGGGCCCTTAGAACATAGACCATAAGAATGGCAGAACTGGGAGAGTTCTTAGAACATGGAATGGAAAAAAGAAAAAGAACATGGCATAGCCTGCTGGGAGGACCCTTAGAACATGGAATGTTAGAGCTGGGAGGGCCCTTAGAGATCATTGAATCCCCCCCCGACATACAGAGGAGGAGGCTGGGTCAGGAAAGCAGGCCTGGCTAGCCCGCAGTGCCACAGGTGCTCAGGTCTCCTGACTCCCGAGTCCGGCATTCTCTGAACCTCAGTTTCTCTGCGGGCTCAGCCCCTCCTTGCGTCTCCGCGGTCTCCCAGCCTCACTGCAGCCGCAAGGCTCCCGTCGGTCAGCTTTGCCAGGTCTTCCCATGGTGGGCTGCTTCCCATGGTGGGCTGGGGCCCTGGCCTTGTAGAGGCAAGGCTGGGTTCTCTCCAGGCACCACTCCTCAGTCACAGTCCAGTGAACGATTCCCCATGAAGTGCTACTTCTGTGCCCAGCCTTTCATTAGGAGCTGAGGTCACAAAGACAAACAGGAGACAACCGCTGCCCCAGGGCATTCACACTTACTAACTGTGTGACCTGGACAAGTCACCCTTTCAGACTCAGTTTCCCCATTCATTAAATGAAGGCGATAGCGTCAGTACCTGCCCACCCCCAGGGCTGTCGTGAGAATATTAAACACGCTAACAGGTCCAAAACCCTTCGCCGATCTCTGCTGCTATTATTGCTGACCAGGGTCACATGAGCTGGGATTTGAACCCAGGCCCTCTGTCTCTGTATCCCTACTGGGTGTAGTGGAAAGATCCTGAGGCCAGGAAGAACCTGGCGCTTTGACCATGGTCCTGCCTCCGCTCCCCATAATTTACCCGTCAGCTTTCTCTTCTCTAAGGTGCCTTCCCTGTGAAGACAAACTGAGATAAAGGGCCCCCGAGGATCTTGGGCCCTCAGCAGGGGCCGGGGCAGAGAGCTCCTCCACGCCCTCGGCAGCAGGGATGCCAGGCTCCGTGGAGTCAACTCTGACTCAGCACCCTTGCCGCCCTGTGTGTGTGTGTGCGCGCGCGTGTGCGCGCATGGAGGGCAGCTAGCAGCCTGGAGGCTCTGGGTCATCCAGTGGGCCAGCCTCGCCTGGCATGGGAGAGGGCTCGGTGGGGGCCGTCTGACCCTGGGGGACCTCCACCCTCTCTTGGTCTGCTATAACCACATCCTAATGTCTCTGGGAAGCGGTGGCAATGGTGGGTGGCAGGGGTGGTCAGGGTCATCTGGGACAGATGGAATCGGGATCCTGGGAAACAGAAGGGCCGGCCCAGGAAGAGATGGGCTAATAAGTGGTTAAGATGCCCGGTGGGAGCTGATGTTATCGCCCTGAGAGCTCCTATTTTGGGAGCTGGCGGACCTAGTCGGGAGGCTGTCAGGCTCCCGGGCAGACTCTTTATCATCTGGGCTGAGGGCCACGTCGGAGAAACGAGGGCAGTGGTGAAGTAAGGGGCCCGAGGGAGTCCCAGGCTGAGGAGAAGGCAGAGAAGGCAGCTTGGGGTAGCTGGCCCTGTGGCCCCTGGGCCCCCGGAAGGGCAGATGATCACCGTGGGACTTTGGGCAGAGTGCTCACCTTTTCTGGGCCTCAGTTTCCCCATTTGTAAATGGGGGCTTAGACTAGATGATCTATAATATCTCCCTTGACTCTGACAGCCTATGTTCTCTGTTCTCTGCCATTCCTTGCTCCAAAGTCTCTCCAAGGTCTAAACGTTTATCATTCTGATGAAATGTCAGGCTGACCCAGGACATCCTCAAGGACGCAACTGGAAATACTTTCCTTCTTGTGCACAAAATCATGGCCCTGAAATAACTTGCCATGCGCAGCTCTGTTCACTGCCTTCGGCAAATCCCTTCTCTCCAGGCCTCAGTTTCCTCATCTGTAAAATGGAGGCAGCCTTTTGGTTGCCTTCCAAGTCTATCGTTCTATTTTCCTTTAGAATTCGGCTCACATGGGGGTGGAGTAGAGAGAAGACAGCCTAGGAGAAAAGGCCCCCCCAGACAGCCCAGAGTAAAGTCTAGGGAGGGGAGGGCAGATTGGTTCCCCCACCCCCACCAGAGTGAGGTGAAGGCAGCCCTGATGGACTGGACCTTGGGTCATCGGCCCATCTCCTCAGAACCAAATGCAGGCTCTGCACCCAGTCGGTGTTTCAAGTTTGCTGAATAAATACTCAACAATGTGAATGAATCATGGCCTTACCGAGTTAATTGTCCCAAGAAATCATGGAGGTTTCTACTCTAACCCTACCCCGCTTTACAGCTGAGGAAACTGAGGCCCAGAGAGGGGTGGCAGTGACAAGCCCAGTTGCAATCCAGGTCCTCGGCTTCCTAATCGGGTTCTTTCCCCATCCCCGGACGCTTCCCTCCATCCAGGCTGGAGACAGAAATACATTCTGGAAAGGCTGAGGTCAATTTGTAGATGGGAGAGGCCGTGGGAGGAGGGGTGAGAATATTTGGGGCACGCCCCTCAACCTGAGGGCTAACAGTGCAGCCCTTCTCCTGCACAGCCCTCTGCCTCCTCTTGCCCAGAGAAAGCCTTGGATAACAACTCCTCTTAGTAAAGAGGCTTCTTCCCACAACCACCTTGTGAGACAGATTTTACAAAGAGGCTCTTCGAACACTTATGGCTATCTGCCCTCGAGTAATACCCTTAATCTCCGTGCCTCAGTTTCCTTCTCTATGAAATAGGCAAGACTTCCCTTTCTCCGGGCCTCACCTGTAAAGTGAGGGGGAACAGCCGGACTGGAAGGCCCTTCAGGTCTCAGGTCTAGGACCCCATGACTCCCTTCTGTCCTCTCATCAGACCCACTTCTTTCTCCACAGGAGACCCCGGCTCCAGATTCTGCCTCTGCCTCTGCCTCTGCCAACCAGAAGCCCACCGGTAAGCCTGGGGCTCCGGATGCCAGGGAGGGGCTGAGGGTGGGGGAGAAGGCACAGTGCCAGCTCCCAGACCCCACCTCCCCTGTGGTCATCCCAGCCTCGCACACACTGTCGCCCGAGACTCAAGCTACAGGGATCCCCACTTTATAAGATGGAGTCCCCTCCTGGTGTCCCTGGATCCCAGGGAGAGATAGGGGGCTCCCTCTAGCCCCCAGGACACGAGGGCGAGTGCATTCAGGGTGACCTCTGTTTCCAGATGTGAACCCTCCTGTGGAGGAATCATCGCTAAGTTCTGGTTCCAACGTCAACCCCAGCGAGGAGCCTGGGATGGTGAGGAGGGCTGGGTCAGGAGGGAGGGTGGGGGCACAGGGAAGGGAAGGTTGGGGCCCCCCGACCCCAAATCCTAGATCCGATGTGAGGGTAGGCCAGTGTATCTAAAGGAAGCCCTGTCTGAGAGGCAACATTGTGTGGAGGAAAGAGAGAGACAGAGAGAGGAGAGAGACAGGAGAGAGAGGGAGGGAGAAAGAGAAAGAAGCCGTGGGTTCAGGTCCTGCCTCTGACATCAACTGGCCGTGTGACCCTGAATGAATCCGTCCACCTCTCCCTGCTCTGGGGAGCTAAGAAAAGGAGCTGAGCAGGCGCCAGCTTGCATCCACAGACTGCCCTCCCCGGTAGTTCCTAGGCTGATGGAGGCGTGGGTCCATCGCTGTCCGCTCTCCAGAGCATGCCAGTGATCTGAGGGCTAGGACGCACCAGGGACCGTGGTCTGGGGGAGGGCTCCAAGAGGGGGGTGCTGTGCAGAGGGCAGCGGGGCTGGCCTCCCCCCACCAGGCTGAGCACCTTCCCCACCCCGCCCCTCAGCAGCGATTCCAGGACACAAGTCAGTACGTGTGTGCCGAGCTACAAGCCCTGGAACGGGAGCAGAGACAGATCGATGGGCGGGCGGCTCAGGTGGAGACCCAGCTGCGCAGCCTCATGGAGACAGGTGCTGGCGGGGCCCTGCCCCAGGACCCCGACCCTCCTCTTGGGTCTCCAAAGGGACGGGTTAGTCCAGATCGCAGGATGCCCACGGCCCCTCCCAGCTCAGACATTCCCTGTTCTAGGCTACAGGAGTCTATGGCCTCCGTTCCAAGGCACCTCGAGTTTCTGACATTTGCTGTGCTAGGTTCTAAGCTAGTCTGGCTCTCGGGTCTCCCAGATGCATTCTCTGCCTTCTGATTTGCCCTCATGCTGCCCCCTGGTGCCCAGCAGTGGAATGCCAGGGCTCGAATCCTAGCCTGCCATCACAGAGCTGGCTTATCTCCCCCTACTTTGATTCATTCAAAGACTACAACAAATGGCTCTTGGGCACCTTGCGTAGAGCCTTGCACTGGCGCCAGAGGAGATACAGAGTTCCGTAAGACAGTTCCTTCCCTCAAGGAACTTACACTATTACATGACTATAATCAGGGGTTTGCTGGTAAATGTTTAACAATCGGCTGTCCTTCCCCCCAAAAAATGTATATATAAATATATTAATATTGCATTAATTTTAATTATAATATTATGTTAATATAATAATATACATATATTTATAACTTTATTAACATTTTTATTAAGTCTAGAAATAAGAAAAAAACAGTAAATCAACCCGTGTGTGTAGCTTTCGCCAATTTCCAAGGTGTAAATGCTTACACTGAAAATTTAAGAATCCTCTCCCAGTATGAGCTGGCTCAGGCACACCCCTGACATAACTTACAACCTTGCAGCATTATCAAGGCTTTGTCAGCTGAGGGGATCTGGGAAGGCTTCCTGAAGGAGGTTTTGAATTGGGCTTTAAAGGAACAGCAGGAATCTAATGAAAGAGTCAGGGAAGGGAGAGCCTCCCAAGCAGGGGAAAGGTAGAAAGTGCAAGCAAAGGCCCGGAGGTGGGAGAGGTCAGGCTGTAGCAACATTCACAGAGTGGCTGCCCTGCACAGGGCACTGTACTGGGCTCTTCACCCCCTGCCCTCAGGCAGCTTCCAGTCGAGGGGGTGTCTGCTCCTCTGGACATTTCCACGAGCCTGTCCCCGTTCCAGGTGCTGACAAGCTGCAGGAGGAGGTGCTGATCCAGGAGTGGTTCACACTGGTGAATAAGAAGAATGCCCTGATCCGGAGGCAGGACCAGCTCCAGCTCCTGTGAGCCCCTCCCGGGGTGGGGGTGGGGGGGTATGGGTCCTTCCCTTCTCTATCAAAGGCTCTGGCAAGCACCTGCAGTGTGCTGGGGGGCCCCAACCTGGCTACAGAGGGGGCACAGCCCAAGATGCCTGGGTGACCTGCCATGCTCAGTCCTAGGCAACACAAGGGAGGGAGGGAGGGAGGAAGAGAGGGAGGAAGGAAGGCAGGGAGGAGGAAAGGGAGGGAGGAAGGGAGGAGGAAAGAAGGGAGAGGGGAGGAAAGTGAGGAAGGAAGGGAAGGAGGAAGGAAGAAAGGTAGGGAGGGAGGAAGGGAGGAGAAGGGGAGGAAGGAAGGAAAATGCTAAGCCAGAGGGTCCCGAGGAGGGCAATCAGCATGGAGGAGGGTCTCAAGTCCTTGTTGAAGAGGAATGCTTGAAGGTACTGAGCATGTTTCACCGGGAGAAGAGAAGACTGCCCCCCTTGCCCCCACAGCTGCCTACAAGTGTTTGATGGGCAATTGAATTGTACTTGACCACTTAGCCTCCAGGGGGCAGAACTACCATGGCTGGGAGTGGTATGGGGAGATTCAGTGACTACCTTATCAAGCATCTTCTATGGACAGGCCCCTGTTACTAGGGGGCAGGGAGAGGAGTGAATAGAGTGCTGGCCTCCAAGCCTAGAGGCAGGGAGGTGGCAGTGGAGGCAGGAAGACCTGAGTTCAAATTCAGCCTCAGACACTTCCCGGGCAAGTCATTTAACCTCTGTTTGCCTCAGTTTTCCTCATCAGTAAAATGGGGTCAGAGAGGATGGAAATGACTGAACAGCAACAATGAGATGGATTAATACTAGCACCTCCCTTCCAGGATTGATGTGAGGACCACATGAGATAGTCTGTGTGAAGCACATGGCACAGGGCCTGCCTGGTGTGTGGTGGGCACTATATAAATGCTTATTCCCTTCCCCTTTATCCAGGAACACCTGGGTTCAAGTCCTGCTTCTGGCATTCACTGGCAGCCCCCGTGTAAAGCTGGATAGGGGGCGAGACCTGCAGTGGTGGAGGGAGTTTCCTCATCCCATAGCTGCCGCTGAGGATGAATCCCTGGCCCTACTACGAGCCAGGCACCAGACAAGGAAAGGAGCCGAGACACAGGTCCTGCCCTTGGCGGGCTTGGCATGTCATGTCGGGTGATTTCTGCAGTCTGGTTTGGGAGATAGCTGTAATTAAGGAAGGGTGACGGAAAGAAGGAAGTGCCAAACGTGGAGTTAGGGGCTACTGTTCAGTCGTGTCTGACTCTCTGTGACCCCACCTGGGGTTTTCTGGGATGCTGGAGTGGTTTGCCATTTCCTTCTCCAGGTCAATTTACAGGTGAGGAAACTGAGGCAAACGGGTTGAAGAGACTTGCCCAGGGTCTCACTGTGACATGGTCAGTGTCTGTCTGAGGCCGAATTTGAACTCGAGTCTTCTTCACTGCAGCACCACCTAGCTGCCCCTCATGGGTTAGGCAGCACCTGGGTGCCCATCCAGGCTCTTAACACTATAGCTCTATAAGGTTTGCAATGCTCTGTACCTGTGTACAAATACTATGGTATTTGATCCTCATCTCACCTCCTGTGAGGGAGGTGCTGTTATTATCTCCATTGTGGGGAGACTGAGGCTGGAGAAGAGGTTGAGTGACTTGCCCAGGGTCACGCAGCTAACTAGTAAGATTCAAACTCAGGTCTTTTGGACTCCAAGTCCCTCCAAGTGTAGGGCTTGCCTGGCTGCATTTACTCAGCGGGTAACCCTAGGCAAATAGCTTTCCCCCTCGGAGCTGAACGGGGCCCCCAGGCACAACATGCAAGGAAGAAATGGACAGCAGACCCAAGCAGAGCCACACCACCATGCAAGGAGGCACACCTCATTTTCAATAACACTTTTAAATGAAAGGATACACTTTGAACGGTGGGGAATTCTGCGTACATCACACACAAGCGTGGGTACTCAGTGCTAAAGTGACGCGATCTGCAGTGAACAGCGTCGTTAGTAATAACAGTTCCCATTTATGCAGCCTTTAACGAGTGTAGATACATAGCTGGAAGGGATCTTCTAGGTTGGCCCCATGTTGCAGAAGAGGAAATTAAGGCTGAGAGGGGCAGGGACTCGTCTAGAGTTATGTAGCTGGTAGGTGGCAGAGTCTGGAAATGTCAGACTTGGCAAAAGCGGCCCACTGCCTTGTCCCTGGCCTCCCGGCCAGCCCTCCTCTGTCCCTTTGGCCCCTGGATGAGAACTCCGTCTCCTCTGGCTCTTTCTGAAGGCCCCCCCGCACTCCCCTGAGAGGCGGCTTGGAGGTCTCCGGCCCAGCCCAGGGAGGTCAGGCGAGCCCCCAGAGCTGACGCCCCCGCCTTGCTGTTGCAGGATAGAAGAACAGGATCTGGAGAGACGGTTCCAGCTACTGAGCAGAGAACTGAGGGCCATGATGGCCATTGAAGGTAAGGTGGTCTTGGGTGGAAGTAGGGGCAGCCCCGGGCTCAGCCACAGCTGCCTTCTCCAGCGCCTCCCGCCTCTCATCTCTCCCCGTCCAATTTACCTTCTAGGCAGCTGCCGGACTGATCTTTCTAAGGCTCGGTCTGAGCGCGGCACTGTCCTGCTCAGAAGCCTTCAGTGGCTCTCTTTTGGCCCTAGCACAGAGCCCGTCATTGAGGGCACACCACCACGTCAGTCTTAATTCATTCACTCCCTGTCACAGTCAGTCCACCCTCCAGCCAAATGGGTCGGCCAACGAACATTTGTTAAGCTCCTACTATGTGCCATTAGCCCTGGGCTAATGTCCAGGGATGCAAAGAAAGGTCAAAAGGAGCTCAGTCTAACACAGATACAACATGCGAACAATTGTGTATAAACAAAGATATGTGGATAGGGTAAACTGAAAGTTAGCTCCAGAAGGAAGCCACTAAGATAAGGAAGTCTGGGAGAGGCTTCCCACAGAAGGTGGGATTTTAGCTGGGACTTCAGGGAAGCAGAGATGAGGAGGGAGGGCATTCCTGGCAGGGGGCACTGCAAAGAAAATGCCTGGAGTCAGGAAATGAAGGGTCTTGTGTAAGGAACAGCCAGGAGGCTGGGATCACTGGATCCAAGTATGTGCTGGGGAGTAAGGCTTAAGAGGGCTGGTAAGGGGGCAACAGGCAGGTTGTGGGGGGCTTTAAAAGCCAAATTGAGGATTTCCTGTGTGGTCCTGGGGGCCACAGGGAGCCACAGTATTTATTCATTAGGGGAGTGACAGGGTCAGATCTGTGCTTAGGGCAATGACTTTGGTGGTTGAATGGAGGATGGTCAGGTAGTGCCCCCAGCAGCTGGTGCAACAGTCGAGGAATGAGGTGATGAGGAGAGGAGAGGGCATGCGTCCGAGGTAGAAATGACCGGACGTGGCAACCGTGTGGATGTGGAAGATGAGAAGGAGTGAGGAGTCGAGGGCAGGAGGACTCTTGAGTTGGAGATGCAGTATGGAGGTCTGGGGAGAGGAAATAAGCATTTATGAAGCACCTACTATGTGTCCAGTGCTTTACCATTATTATCTCATTTGTTCCTTACCACAAGCCTGGGAGGTAGGTGCTATTATCACCCTCATTTAACATATGGGGAAACTAAGGCAAACAGAAGTTAAGTGATTTGCCCATAGTCACACAGCTCGTAAGTGTTTGAGGCCAGATTTGATCTCGGGTCTTCCTGACTCCAAGCTAGCACTCTGTCCACTGTGCCCCAACCTGTCTCAGGGCTGGACAAGTCAATCTGAGAATCACTTGTGATAACAATGACGGCTGGAAACAGGGGTGCTGATGAAAACAGCAAATGATCTCCTGCCTCCCTGTAGTGCCCTGGCCGTCCTCCAGGCACTCCTTCATTTCTGCCTGGAAAAGAAATCCTGCCCTTCCTTCTCATTGTTCTATCTGTCTCTCTTTTGTCCCTCTCCACCCCTCCTCCAGCCCTTCCTACACAGTCTACCTTGTATTACCCTTCTGTGTCT